CCATATGTTTCGGAGATTGTAAAGGATAACTCAAGAATCGGTAGACGGATTGTGATTTTTAGCTGAAGTATGCAAATAATGCAAATTTCGAGAATAGAAGTATGAAACACTTGTGATATTTTAATCGGGAACGAGATTACCATTGCCAGCATATGGCTTAACCGCACCCCCCACACCTAAAATGGCCCATTCCCCCTCCCGCACAAATGGGCTGGTCCTAAATCGACCTTAGTCTAGCACGTCGGCAGAACGTACTGCGCCTGTGCAGGACCCTGGATTTTCGCGTTTTTCATTGGATGTTTGGTCAACGTTACAGCAGAATTTTGCCTGTTGCAAAGGATATCTTTTCCAACATAACATTTAGAAATTACTGTCTTAATGCTAACCTTATATCAGCGAATTCGACCTTATATGAGACATTTTGTCGAAGTGATACAATACATTACGGGTTTCGCGCAGGTGCAGTACGTTCTGCCGACGTGCTCCTTAGCCTTAGTAGTATCTAGACGGGAGGGGGGGGGGCAAAAGTGCCCGTGCCAAATTTGATGTCGGATACCGTCTGAATTGCTTGCACTAGAATCACCAAACTTGGTGACTTTTCCTAAAATATTGTTGGCATCGATTTTATAGAAGTGGGATAAGATACTGATTTTTTTTGCGTTGCAATGGCAACGGGTTTTCTGACAGACACTTACAAGATTTAGTAAATTTCGTTTCAACAAAGAATTTTATAGGTTTTATGTCAAGTTATACATTGTTTTAAATATTAATAACATTAAAAATTTCAATCTTTGGGTATTTGAAAGTTAAGTGAACGTGAACATCATTAAACATTATTTATTAAAAAGGATCTCATTATTTATGAGGAAATAATAGGATGGCTTTTTTTGGTAAGATAATGCTGTCTTTTGGTGACGAATATGATTAACTGATATTATAATCTATGCAAATGAGGATCCTATTTGCATAATCAGCAAGAATAATCTTTACTTTGTCAGTCATAAAGATTACCAGCATTCGGCTAATGTTTGAGATTGTGGAACTCTAGTTTTAAGGATGATATCAGCGCGGGCGTTTTTTTCGCCCGATTTGGACATTTTTCCCTCTGAGGTCGGTCAACTTGCAAAAAATTGTAAAATATGCCGCAAACATTCATCGGCAAGACACGGCTCATGATCAGTAGGCTCTAATTTATTGTTCAGTGTTTGATTTTCACTCAGTTACACTGTTGTAATTCAGATCTTTGAATGTGAAAATGTAATGAATTTGATGTGAAATTGAAGTGAATTCAATACGAAGATTTGGCACTTGATTTGGTGAACGGTTTATTGACCGTAAGATGGTGGATAAACGGGCAGCCGTTTAATTGATGCATCAGGGCTACTGCTATTCCTACAGTTTTTTTGTGGTCTCATATGCTTGAATCCCTTAACCCCATCTAGACCGGGCTTTTTTGGCTTCGTGGGACCGGAGAGGGTAGGGGGATCATTCACCCCCCCTCAGAACTTGCGAACGGTAAATCGTATGACCACCAAATTTTCAGAGGATGGTGTACTAGTAAACATTTATTATATCTATAATTTTATTAATGTGAGTCATTAATGTGACTTTATTGGCCAATACCGACTAATATGTTATTCCCTGAGAACTAAATGGTATACAACTTTACCAAAAGTGTTGACACAGGGTGTACTAAGTCTTATGTTGCCCATAGCAACACCGCTGACGTCATGAAATTGCTGTTAAGCTATCCGCCATCTTGGATCATCAATCTTGAATTTTCAAAAATAATTTTTCAAGATGAAGCCTAAAATACAATGTAGACAGAATAAAGACCTTTTTTTGTCAAAAAAGAAATGGAATTATTGATGAAATTTTAAGGAAAATAACATATATACCTGTTCTTATGATATGGTCTGCCATCTTGGCTTTTGACCGATGACGTCATCAAATTAGCGTAAAGTATGCATTTTAATGATAAATTTACATGGAATTATATGGGATCTTAAAATATCAGAAACCATGTGTAACTTGACATAAAACCCATAAAATTCTATTGTTGAAACGAAATTTACTGAGTTTAGCAAAAAATGCCTGTCAGAAACACGTTGCCATGGCAAATCATCGTATTCCAATCATACAACTGATGCCAACAATATTTTAGGAAAAGTTACCAAGTTTCGCCATTCCAGCGCGAGCCGTTCAGACGCTATGTGACATTAAAGTTGCACTTTTAGCCCTTCGTATGCGGGCGGAAGAACTTCTTGGGTAAAACAAATATATCAAGGGCTGTCAGCAAGAAAGGGACAAGGAATAACATGAATATAATAGTGATTATATTTTATAGCCCTGTGTCACTGCTGTTGGAACGTTCCATATTGTGTTCATACATTTAAGGTATTTTAAAAGCCACGGCTGGGCAGCGTTAACATCTATAGGTCAGTTGGTAGAGATGTATTTCTAGCGGCAGGTTTAAGTCTGGACATCATCGGTTGGAATCAATATACGTGGTATCGGTATTTCTTTTTAATTCTCTTTTTGACATCCGTTGTTTTCCGTTTAATATTCTTAAACTACTTGTTACTCAGGAATGTCAATAAAATTAATTTGTTACTTATTTGACACCTTTGTAATTTTTTCAGTTCGAATCCCGCTTTCGGCTCTATTTTACTTTTCGACAATACCGAAATCCCTGCTTTTTTAACCCTCAACAGTACACCTTCCCGGACTGATTAATCTGTACACCTGGGGTCCGCGCGGACCCCAGAAGAGTTTTTTGCTAATTTTTAGAAATTATCAACATGCTACCAGCTCAATTGTTTTGCAAACTGATGTGGGAACCTCTGTGTCCACATTACATACAAAAATCATACATTTTGAACTATTTCTATTTTTTGGTGAAGAAAAGAAGACAAGAAGAAATACCCGATTTCTAAACCCATTTCAGACTGAAGGGGCTTTTGAGGCCCAACTTTGATCTCAGATAGCGGCTAAACGGCTTGCGCTAGAAGTATCAAATTTGGAGACCTTTCCTAAAATGTCTCTGGAAAAAAGTTCATATTAGTTTAATACTAGTAAGTTGATGTTTTTTTGTGTTGCCATGGCAACGGGCTATTGTTTTGAAAATAGAAGTAATTTAGGTTTAAACATAAAAATTTTCTGAGTTTTATATTAAATTACACTTCTTTTCCAACATTAATAACATCTTACATAATTAAATATAAGTTAAATCATTTAACATGCATAGAATATGCTAATTTGATGACGTCATTGGTCAAAATCCAATATGGCGGACTATATTATTAGCTCTGACGTCATATGACGTCATAATTACACCAAAGTTATTAAAATTTAACTCTATTACTACACCATTCTCTGAAAACTTGGTAGACATACGATGAGTGCATAAAAACATATAAAAACGGATATAAGGTAATGTATAAGAACGCCAGTGTATCCATTATGATCGAGAGCCGGCTGGGGTCCGCGCGGACCCCAACAGAAAATCAGATATAATTTTTTTTATAAATGGTAGAAACGGAGTTTTCTGCAGTATATTGAGAGACAACTTTGTGGGTGACAATTACCTAAAATTTCAGAAAAAAATCTTTAGAAACAAAAAAAATATTACAGAATATATAGTGCTGGGGTCCGCGCGGACCCCAGGTGTACTGTTTAGGGTTAAAAGCTCTTCCGACATGGCGATGCCTTCATCAGTTTTTTTAAAGCTTTTCTGGTTAAGATGTGTCTTGTATCCAATAAAGTTTGGTTGTATATATATGCCAGTCTATCATTCACACCCAATACAAACCTTACTGCCGGCGTGCAATGCGCCTTTTTATTAGGGCGAAAATATCGCGGCAGCTTTTTGCATAAACACTTGTTTGGCCTGCATTGTGTCTTTTCGCCCTTTCGCGATGAATGCGATCCATGAAATTCACTTACTGTGGCCTTACAACTAACATGTAACTTGAAATGTTGTGTACGATTGTGCATGCTGTTAAGTGAATAGCTATATGGGCAGCAAAGATAGAGAGGCCGGTGGATGAGGCTCTCAGAAATAACTACTATTTAAGCTTCGGTCCCAATTAAAAAAAGGGGCCCTGAGGGTAGTTTCCGGGCTGTTTTTGGTACTTTCAGGCGTGACCCCTACGTGGCCCCGCGGAATACCGTGTGGCTACCGGGCTATTTTTGGACCCGACGGGGACCCGAGAAGACTTTAATTTCTACCCGGGCCCCGCTGACAAAAATGCCATCACCTCACCGTGAGAACACCGAGAGGTACCACTCCGGTTGCCGGCCGTCCACAGGGACACATTTCTTCACGTCACAGACCAGTTGCACAGAAAAAAGGTGTGTACTATGTTACACCGGGTCAAATGTGTGACGTCACAGATCAGGTGATTACAACAAAGGCGTGAACTCTGTACTACGTGGGTCACTACAAGGCATCGTTAGAGCATTTGCAAGATACCTGCCGGGGTCCTACCAATGAGGGTGAAAAAAAGTAACAACAAAAGGCCACTAAAGGAAACTTTAAATTGTGACCACGACAACCCCGTCGGGGATGTAGCCCCGGCAAGCCCTGGCCGGGCTCAGGAGTCGGGAGGGCACCGGCGCAATTGGCACCGAAGCTTTACGTGTGGTCATGTGACGTAACGACAAAGCGTTCGGCTCAGAACCAAGAGGTCCTGAGGTCGAATCATTCCATGCCTCAGATCCGAACTTGTGCCCTTGCGAAGCCACTTTACACGGGCTTCATCTCGGGGTGCAGATGTTGAGTTTTTAATTAATATGGCGTCGCGTGTAAAAAGGTAGACATAAATAATGAGGGAAGAAAAGGGTGTGGATGTTAAAAGTAGTGATTTCAATAATAAAATTACTTGCCGAGCCGAAGGAATCAATAAGAAGAAACGAAGTTCTTTCATATACATGTATTTTTATGCTTCAATTTCTCATATTTATTTGAATAAACTAAAAACTTTTTTTTTTGCTTGTGCATGTCAGAAATCGACGAATGTTACAGTTCACCTTGTAGAAATGGTGGAACCTGCCGAAACCTCATCAACTCGTACCGCTGTGACTGTAAGCCTGGATGGAGTGGTGTCAACTGTCAGGAAGGTCGGTAAAAAGTTTTACCTTTGATTTTATTTCTGTGTATCTTTTGTGATTTGACTACCAGCGGACTAGTAGCGTGACCCAAATGCTCAACGACCTGCAGTGGCCCCTCCTCTCTGAAAGGAGGAGGAAAGCCCGCCTCACAACATTTTACAAAATAGTGCATAAAATTACTATCATCCCTACAGATAAACTGCTCAGGCCAGCTCAGGGGCGTACCCGAGGGAGTCATCAGTAGAAATACCAACCAATACACGCACGTACAGACGTCTATAAATATCCCCTCTTCACCCGCACAATCCCACAATGGAACGCCTTGCCTGGCCCGGTAATCATGGCTCCCACCGTTGAGTCATTCCGGGCCAGGCCGCCTAAGACCAAGGTCTCCCCCCCTAAAGTGCCCCAACAGGGACTATATGGGGATGTAGCCGGGGCTTGTACAACATCCTAGAGCCCCGGCAAAGATGAAGATGAAGACTGTATTCAGACAGGGCTTGTTAGGTCATGCTGTGAGCAGGGAGCCCTGTAACTCAACTAATTATCGTAGGGCCACCAAATTTTCAGAATATTAGAACAAATTATTATCTTTAAACAGGGTGAATTATGAACGTAACTAACTTGATAGTGTTTCCATTATTGCCAAGTCACCGTTGTAAAAGGTCAAGCGTATTTAGACACGGGATTTAGAACCGTGATTGGTGCCAATGTACGATTTAGATACGTGTATACGCGGGAACTATTCAGAATCCTACTTGATTCTATATTGTCTCCCCTAATTTGAGAGAAACAGTGATGTCGTAAAGAATGCAATCTTTGGTTAAGGCAATAAATTTCCATTTGAGAATTAAAAATAGAATATTAATGAAGAACAATTCTAGAGTCGGTTTTGGTTGGCTTCAATATTAAAATTAATTTTATTTATTTGCTTTTAATATTGCCAATTTGAATGTTCGATTCTGTTTGATATTTGTTGATTTCACCAGGAAAGCTTATAAGGATGATATATTTTTTTAATCTATTAACACAATTACAGATGTGAATGAGTGCTTGACAAACGAAGGACGAGGACCATGTGACCAAATCTGTATTAATGAGGCGGGTAGCTACCGCTGCTCTTGCCGGGCGGGATACCAGCTTGCCACAGATGGCGTTTCCTGCATAGGTTAGTAGTAAATCTCACTCACTCACTCACTCACTCACTCACTCACTCACTCACTCACTCACTCACTCACTCACTCACTCAGTCACTCACTCACTCACTCACTCACTCAGCATGCCACCCCGGTGTGCGTTGCGCCCTGCATATGGTCCTTCGCAGGTCTGCCTGTCTCTGGCTGCCACTCAGGAGGTGATGTCCAGTCTGCAGCCTGTAGGTAGGAGGACAGCAGGTCCGTCCAGGTGCGCCTCGGTCTCCCTCTAGAGCAGAGCAAGATGGGAGGAGGCGGTTCTCTTACGAGAGAGTCTAGTTTCAGGTGGTTCCGCCCTTGCACGAAGAGGCGAAGACGAGCTGAGCGGATTTTATTGGACAGCGGGGGCTGGTTAGTTCTCGCTCTTAGGGCGTCGACGAAGACATGGTTGTACCACCGGATTCTTCGCTGATATTTCTCTCTCACTCGATCAGTCTCTCCTATAGCTTTTTCAACTGTCGGGGCATAATGCTGTTTGGCCAAGATCTTCCAGTGCTGACGATATTCTGCCAGTCTGGCCATCTTGTTGGCTGTTAAGCCTAGGTCACAATTCAAGAAAGGGACCCGCTCGGCGCGTTTTCGGCCTGTTTATGGCACTACCGAACGGGACCTGGACAAAGACTGGCGGCGTTCCCGACGGCTGGCGGCCTGTTTTTGCCCCGTGCGGTCGCCAAATTGATTTTAACTTAAATTCAAAATCACTTCGGGCCCCGTCGGGGAAAGTATGCCGAAGTGACGCCGTAACCGCACCGAACTAAGCCGTAACCTAGTCACCGGGTCCCGCAAGGCGGCCGCATAGGCACCTGTCCAAAATTATGACGTCACGAATCTGCGCTTTAATTGTTCAGAAGGAGGTGGTAATAGAGGCTATTGTGATGTTCTTGACATAGCTCCATTAGCAATGAGTGGCAGTGACCAAACACGAGTTTGCGCATCAACCAGGGGCGAACTCACCAAACCAGCCAGGGGCGTGCCAGCCTTGGACCCGCCATGATTGCTCCTCGACCCCGCCAGGGACCCTGCAGCCTAGATGAATTCAAGAAAGAAAGATGCCAAACGAGTCTATCATAGTGTAAGAAGCAAAAGTTGTACACCCCTGAGAATAGTATGAGGCAACCGGGTCAGAGTTGACAGTGAAAGCACATCGTTCCAGTCGATTGAGTTCAATACAGTTCTCGGGCAGTATCAACGTGTCTCTTCTCACTAAGTGCGGGTGTAGTAAGTTAGGACGTATACGAGTGACAGCGGTGTTCCCACTGACACCCACGACATCGTTGCTGAGCTGACCAGACAAGGTTTTAATTTAACATATCCTTTCCAACACAATCATCTTGCCCCCCTCCCCATCTCACACCAGCTGGCTACGGCGTCCGTTTCAACCTGTACTGCACCAATCACGCCAACATCACCGATAAACCTCCAACTGCCAGCCTCCCCTCCTGACACTTCAGTTACCTCTCCTGGACTGTCCGTCGCCTCTTCTAAGCCATTCCGTAATACGTTGGCGCCTCTACAGCACCAGTTTTGCAAACCATTCCGCCAGCCACTGCACCTCTACTGTATCTTCACCAACAGTTCGCCTCTGGATTTCACCTTACGCCGACAGTTCGCCCCAAACACAGCTGCCGCAACTTCGACAGTCCAACCGACCTATACCGTGCCCGGCTATTCTTACCATCAGAGACCTCCTGTACGTTCAATGACACAGTTCTCCCACCATTCATCTCCTGTGGTCCAACCCCCTGCTACTCCAGCCCAGGTGGTCTCCTCTCTACCGGTATCCAATTTTTTTAGCATCAGCCACGGGTCTCCAGTCACAGTTGCCCTGTGGTGACTGCTACCCCCGGAACGTGCCGCGGCACAAACCCATCCGAAGACACAACTGCCTCCACGTTTCCGGGGCGTATGCGTAAAATTCCACATATATGTTACCTCTCAAGGTTTTGACTACGACCAGTCACAGTGTTCAAGGGTATTCCCAACGTTTTTGGATTGCCCAGCTTTCACCTACTACACCAGCCTCCCTCGACGCGCTGCTGGCCGGACTGGCCGACCGCCAAAAGGCCAAACCTCCTCCTCCACTACCAGGCTCTCCCACAGTACACACCACAGCCATCCTTAATGACCATGCCACGCAGGTCCTCATTGACACTGTATCAGTTGTATCACTAATTAAGTGTCGGTCACAACCCGCCGTACGTGCATACGCGTGCCGTCTACGTTCAAAAACGTGGGCAAACGTAGGGAATCCGTGAGTGGATTCGGGGGCACGCAGACATGCCTTAGAACTTTAAGAGCGAATGTCTGTAAGGATCAAACAATGGTAGCAGGGGTAAAAAAAATCGATTTGGCTCAAACTTTGCACAGTGATAGTACTTGGCCCACAACCCCTCAAAATAGCTTTCTTTCCGGTCAACACCGATCGTTGCCATGGTAACAGGCCAAACAAGTTTCGGGGCCATTTTTCCTGATTTAAGCGACGGTCACAACCCGCCGTACGTGCTTTTTGTCCGTACGTTTTCTGGGAGGCTACGTCTGCTACGTTTTTTCTGAAAACGTAGGGAAGGAGTGGCATCGACGCACGTCACTTGCACGTCAATCGCACGGTTGCGCAAGGTGTAAGAGTGTGGTCTGCACGCCACGTCTGGCCGTGAGCGGTTGCGTGCATCGTTCGTTGCGCAAGTGGTGAGTTGTACGTGCTTACAACGTACGATCTCTGTGCGATTGCAACTTTACCGTAAGGAAGCCGTACTCATACGTGCTTCTTCCGCACCGCACCGCGCTTCGCTCGTACTCGCACGCACGGGTGGTGAAATCCGCAGACCGCACGTAGAAAAAGTTTTACATGCACTTCAAGTTCTACGGCGTGTCTGCGTGCTCCCAAATCCGTAGGATTCCGTACGGAGGTGGTACTCACCACGCACGGATGCCCTACGTTTGCCCACGTTTTTGCACGTAGACAGCATGCAGAAGCACGTACGGCGGGTTGTGACTGTCGCTTTAGACATGTGAAAAACATGAAATTTGGCATAGTTTAAGGCACGATTACGAGCAAGTGCTTTAATGATATGATATAATATAAATCTTTATGGCATGTTCTTGCCCAGATGGGCTAAATGCAAAAGAGGATATCCAGCATGTAAAACATGTGTATTTCATACTGGTACGCTATATTCTAATGCAAAGTGCTAGGAAATCTATACATTACAATAATACTAAAAACTACCTATCATCAACTGTTAGTTGCCCTTTTTTCTCTTTCTTTGAAACATTTTGAAACATAATTACATAGTTTGTCTACTGTACATTCGTTCTTGTATGACATCAGGTGTTTAAACATGTCCTGCTTTGGCATGTTCTTACATATCTTGTCTAATTGTAAAGTATCGAATAGCTCTTGGCGTTCATCTTTATATAATGTACAGTCAAGTAGAAAGTGTATCTCGTTTTCAACATATAAATGATTACAGAATTCGCACGTTCTATCTTTCAGAGGGGTACGGCTATGCCTGCCGGATTCTATACGTAAGGGGTGGTCACTTATGCGAAGTTTACACATGGCTCTGCGATGTTCGAAGTTTGCACTGTTTAAATATGTTTCTCTTTCATAAATCTCTTTGAATGTTTTGTATGTCCTTAGTTTGTTGCCTTGGTTTTCTCTTCTTTCTTTTACTTGTAGTTCTGAGTTGAAGTTTTGTATAAAGTTATCTTTCAGTCTTTGTTTTAGTTCATTTAGATGAAACGGCGAGTTTAAAGGACAAATCCAATACTTTCAATTTTGGGGCCTTTCCACCCAAAATCCTATTATGTAAATGGTGATTTATTGGTTTCTGCCAACCCCGCACATACTTGCGGTTATATCTGACCCGCTCGATGTTCCCCGGCTAGCGCCCGATTGTCCGCTAGGCGGCGCAGCGACTGTAGATTTGGCGTCACCGTTTTCATTCTGCTACCAGCGAAAACAATCATGGCAGGCGCATCTGGACTGGACTGCATCGGCTGTGAAACCCTTCCGTTTTGAGCCACAGACAGACAGTAGTGGTGACTCTGACCCCGAACCAGGCGATGAGAACGTTTGGGAAGGAGGTGACGTGGAGACAGAGGGTTGGAGGTTGGGCGATCGATGTAAATAAATTTTTCAAAGGGTTGAGTGAATTACAACGTAAACAAACCGCGGTACCGACCTGTTAGAGACCGGCTCCTGCACGCCCTGCCGGATCAGATCCCAACGAAAAATCAGCAAAGTTCGGAGGTTTGCCGGGTGGAGAATCACATCGAAGTCAGGGTGGTTTCTAATGCATGGGTGGTCTGGACCGACGCTCTTTTTGAACAGTGTCTGGCAGGTCGTGGCAACAAACACTCCCATACAGAGAGCAATTCCAGGCAGTTTCCACAGCGGCACCAGTCCCGGTTCCCCAACCTCCAACCCTCTGTCTCCACGTCACCTCCTTCCCAAACGTTCTCATCGCCTGGTTCGGGGTCAGAGTCACCACTACTGTCTGTCTGTGGCTCAAAACGGAAGGGTTTCACAGTCGATGCAGTCCAGTCCAGATGCGCCTGCCATGATTGTTTTCGCTGGTAGCAGAATGAAAACGGTGACGTCAAATCTACAGTCGCTGCGCCGCCTAGCGGACAATCGGGCGCTAGCCGGGGAACATCGAGCGGGTCAGATATAACCGCAAATATGTGCGGGGTTGGCAGAAACCAATAAATCACCATTTACATAATAGGATTTCGGGTGGAAAGGCCCCAAAACTGAAAGTATTGGATTTGTCCTTTAAGTGACCATTAATTTACAGGTAGGCAAAGCCGGACTCCTCTAGCAGTTTCCTTACATTAGATATTTTTCTTTAACCAGCAGGGTGTTTTTCGGCGATCTAGCTCTTGTTGTACCATATAGGCTTCATTTTGAAGACTACTAGTATGTACTTCGTTGGCTAATCTGAAATAGTAACTGTACATTCTGCATTGAGCCTCTATCAGTAAAGGGAAACGTTCCAGTTCCGCTCTACATGCGAAGTTACTGGCGTTCCTCCGAACCCCGAGAATGTATTTACAGAATTTCAGTTGCACAGTTTCTATTGCAGATTTGTCATTCATATTGCTACTGCACCAGGTTTCAGATGCATACAATAATATCGGAACAATACATGTGTCAAACAGTTTACAATGAAGTGATACGAAAGATCTAGTTTCTCCAAGAGTACTTATGATGCTGAACATTGCTCTTGAGGCTCTCTCTTGTAAATTTTTCATGGCAGCGCTAAATGTACATCCTGCAGTAAACATAACCCCTAGGTAACAATATGACGGAACTATCTCTATCTCTTTATCATATAATGAGAAAGAAATGTTAGACAATAAAAGGCCTTTTTTGTTAAACACTATAACTTTGGTTTTTGCTACGTTGATAGATAATTTCCATTCTTGACAATCTCGGCCGAGAGTGTTAATTGTATTCTGTACTCCCTGCTTACTTTCCGAGTATCGTCGGCATAAAATAGGCTATTTATTTTTGAAGATTGTAATAGGGGGGCGTCTAGGTTTTCTGAATTGAGTTTGTCTATGAGATCACTAATGTACAGGTTGAATAAGGTGGGGCTTAAAACACACCCTTGCCGAACACCGATTTCAACAGGAAATGTTTCGATCAGGCCATTCCTAGTTTTAACACTGGCTTCGAAATGGTTGTATAAGTTTTTGATTATGTCGAAGAGTTTGCCTGAAATGCCGTTTGAGAGAAATTTGTATAGCAGTCTCTCATGCCAAATGGAATCAAAGGCTTTTGATAGGTCGACAAAACAAGCGAATAAGCGTTTTCCAGACTGTGTGTGTTTAGATATAAGAGAATTCAATATGAAGATGTTATTTGATGTCCTTTAGTTTTTTTCTGAATCCTGTTTGGTTTGGGTTTATAATTTCATTCTGTTCAAGGAAGGTTGACAGTTTTTTGGTAAGTATTGAGGAGAAAAGATTTCCTGAGCAGCTGGAAATGGCGATTCCACGATAATTATTTGGGTCATCTTTTCGCCCTGCTTTATAAATGGGGACAATATAACTTCTGGACCACGTTTTTGGGAAAATTCCATTCGAAAATGTATTGTTGAACAATCTGAATAGAGGGGTTAATAAGATTCGTTTTCCTGCTTTAAGCATCTCATTCATGACCATATCCTCTCCGCTGGCTTTTTTGTTTTTAAGGGTGTGTATTGCATCATTGATTTCAGAGCTCGTAATTGGGTTATCTAGAGGCCCTGGGGTTGACTTAAATGTCTGAAGTACTTGGAGTTTGCGTAGAATTTCTTTTTTAAAGTTAAGGTCAAAGTTTTTCTGTTTTAGTCTGGTTTTGTTGTGGAGGTTTTTGAAATGCTGAACCCAAGTGTCTGGTCGTAGATCTTCTTTGGGTACCGAGTCGGTATTTTTTAGTTCTTTAAATAAGTTCCAAAAGGCGGTGGGATTGTTTTCTTGAAGGTTCTGAAGACGCATTAGTTATTTTCGTAATCTCGCTTGCTTTTTCGGATGAGCTTGTCGAATTCTTTCTTTTTCTTAAAATAACTACCTCTCAGGGAAAGATTTTTGGGGTTATGCAGAAGAAGATACCTAAGATTTCGTAGTTCTTTCCGGGCCTCATTACATGTTTTGTCAAACCATTTTTTGTTCTGTTTTGGTCCTTTGGGTATCCTTTTACATTTTACTTTTAATGATATCTTTCCCGCCATTTCTAAAATTTTCTGGAAATCGTTGATTTCTTCATCAATGCTGCTATTTGATGACGTGATATCCTGTTCAATCGATGAGAAGTTATTTATTCTTTTAGATATCATAGGACTCCTTAAAGCATTAATAAATTTTCACTTGAATTTGAGTCCCATATGAACTTTTAGGAAAGAGGGCGTAATTTGCTTTTGGGTGAAAAAAAACAAAGCAAAATATGGGCCTAAAAGACCAATTAATCCGCTATTCTAGAATAACTTTGAAATTTTCAAGAAATTCGTTTAAAGGATCTGGGCAACCCTTACACAATACAGTGTTTGAGCCTTATGAAAAAGCAAGCCAGGCCAGCCTCACAATAAGGGACACAACAGTGCCCAGTCAACTGCCCTCATCTCCCGGCTATGTCGTGAATCTGTCTGCCGCATCACAACCATCCCGTCCCGTTCCGTCATGGCGGTGTCCGTTTCCCGTTGGAATGCGTTGACCGGCTCGGCCGTCTTCACCACCCTCGACCTGAATTCCGGCTATTGGCATGTAAATATTGACCATTGAACGGTGGTACATATGTGCCTACCTGGATGACGGTGGCACACGTGTGCCTACTTGGATTCAAGGAAGATAGATGCCAAACGTTAACGAGTGAGTCATAGTGTATGTAGCAAGGACAGTACACTCCAGCGTTATAATGGTGTGAGCTTACAATAGTACTAAACATAAACATAAACATGAACAGATAGTTTGTACAGAAGCGCGCATCATGTTGCGCACACTTAATCACACACTATGACCTTTTCCCGTTCTGACATTATTTTCTTTTGTCCTTAGATGCAAACGAATGTGACCAAAACCTCCATGATTGTCAACAAATATGTCTAAACATCCATGGTGGATTCTCATGTGGATGTGACGACGGGTTTTCTCTCAATGACGATGGGAAAACGTGTTCGGGTAGGTTTATTATATTTTCCCAATAGTAGCTCAATGACCTTTATTTAATGCGTGTTTGGTAGATCTAGAACCTGAACATCATTTAAGGTCGTGGAAATCAGTTATTTTTAACTTATATACATAAAAGAAAATCACAATATAAATATTCTACGTGAAACGATAGATACTGACGACTGTGTCCCCGGAGCCTGTCATAACGCTGGCACATGTGTTGATGGGAATAACGCATTCTCGTGTGTCTGCGTACCTGGATTCAAGGGAGAGAGATGCCAGACGGGTGAGTAGTAAAAACTGTTTCAATATTAAATGCCATGTAACAAAATGACCCTTGCATTCGGGCTGTCACACAGAATCCCTTTTCGATTTACAGATAGATGCTGCAGGTTATAAAAAGATTTGTCTTTTTTTAGGAATAAATAAAGACATATCTTTTAGACTTTATGCTAGGGCAAGCAACTAAACCTTGAGAGAAAGTTCTAGCTATATATAATAAATTTGCAAGTGTCCTATATATTGCTTAAAATAAGAGCATCTTGATTTCCGTTCCAACGTATAATCATTTAAGTGAAAGTGACATATAATCGTTAGAAATAAAAATTGCGCGGCAACTATGGCAATCTTTAAAAACCACAAAAATATCTCGATTACTAAAAACAGCTACAATGGTTTTCTATGATACGTAACTTTGCGGGATGCATTAAATTCATAGTTAATTCCCCTCATCCTTGTCTACCCAGAACCCTGTAGTGAAGATTACGACCCTCCCCTGAACGGAGCTAAGGCCTGTTCAGTAACAGATGACACGACAGGAGCCATGTTCTGTACTGTCTACTGTCGGAACGACAAAGACTTCGCCATAGAACCTGCCCAGGTCTACACGTGCCGGTCTGATGGGGGTTGGTTTGCTGACTCTGAAATTGTGGTGGGTCAGAATAGTCCTTGGCCAGACTGTACAGGTATGGATTTCGTTGGATCACTACTGAAATTTAGGTTCTAAGTAAATATTTCTACAATTGTGCATTGTGTCTAATTTAAGATATCTAAAATGTTATTTTATTTATTCTTTGCTTCAGGCCAGAGGCCCATATACAATCTGGGACGATACAAAAACAAGTACAACTAGAAAGGCCAATATTTGCTTTGGAGCAAATACAGCGATGGGTTCACCACATTTTACCACATGGCAGGGAAAGAATGAGAAACACAAGGGAAAACAATGATCACCCGGTGTTAATCAAGTTAAATCCCAACAGCCAATCAGCAAGAAGTATAGAGGAAAGCTGCATGCCTATTGGTTGATGCCCTGCATTCCATTGTGATGACTCATGGTAAACACGGCACACTAACACAGTAATACATTTGCTATAACACAGCCAAAAAACTCAAATAAAACCATTCTAAAAGCCTGTTTCACAAAAATTTAAAAAACGCCTAGGGGTATTTGCCCACTGTACCCCCATACCAAATTTCAGGACCTTAGGCCCTAAAATGAAGAAGCTGAATCCATTTAAAGATATGGCAGGAGGAGGAGAAGGAGGAGGAGAAGGAGAAGAAACATCAGAAAAAGCAATATGGGTTCACCACCACTTCGTGGTGTGGTGAACCCATAAATACACAAATCACATACAGATGTCTAAAAGTGCAGCCAGTAGAGGCTCTTTGTAAACACGTTCGAGTGACAAAGCGTGTGCACGATACTATTTCTAGATGCGAGAAGGCGCTTAACAAATGGGTATGACAGTTTTCGCCACCTGGCGTCGAAGTTATCGAGGCATAAGTAAGCAAACTGTTACTACACCACCTAGGCTGATTCATCAGCATTTTAAGAGCGTCATGTGAAACTGTCTTAAAACGCTGGAACACACCAACACTGAGTCTGATCCACAACTGCGAGCAATACGTCGAAAAACAGTGGGGCATAAATAGTATACGTTTAACCTCTGTTGTACAGTTACTAAATTTTCGGCATAGAGAGTTAGCTTAGGTGTAGAGTTGTCTTGTTGCATTGCGAATAGAAGTATCGTCGGACAAATTGTAGGTTATCTGTACGCCTAAGTACGTAACAGAAGGAACGTAATCCAGAGAGGTGCCATACAGTGTAACAGAGGGGGGTTCGCTACATAGGAGTAATCCTGGGCATGGAAAATACATACAGTTGGTTTTCTTATTACAAAAAAGAACATAATTCTCTACTCCAAATGCCTCACAAGCACACTTGAAATATGTGGCAGACATACTGGGAGAAGCTATAGTTGACAAACCCAAAACATTCTGGTCGTCCATAAAAGGACTTAGGAGAGACCTTATCGGGGTGGCACCCCTAAATGTGGGTAATACCGTTATCAGTGACAATGGGAACAAAGCAGAAGCACTCAGCTCACAGTTCAAAAGCGTTTTCACCAAAGAAGACACAACAGATATGCCATCTCTGGGTCAGCCATGTACCCCTCCCATGGAAGACATAGACATTTCTATTGGTGGCGTGGAAAAATGCTTCAAGGTCTCAACCCATCCAAAGCATGCGGTCCAGACCAAATACCACCTTGGCTCCTCAAAATGACAGCTATTAAAATCATACCTGTGTTAATCAATATTTTTCAACACTCGTTGAACACCGGAGAGATACCTAAAGACTGGAGGGATGCAAACATTTCCGCCATTTTCAAAAAGTGAGATAAAGCCGTACACAGCAACTACAGACCTGTTTCACTGACCTGTGTGTCCTGTAAACTGCTTGAACACATCATTCATAGCCAAGTGATGAAGCATTTAGAAAGTCACAACATATTGACGGACTACCAGCATGGGTTTAGAGTTAAGGGGCACACCCCAGTTTATTTTGGGTCTCAATTCGATTTTGCATACCCTCAACTCTAGCGACCGTCTCTTTCAAGAAATATTTCTTAAGCCAAAACACTGTGTTTGCAAATGAAGGATATCCCTCTAGCTACGAGAACAATAGACTTTCAATTTCTTTCACCTCTCACATTTTAGTAAATGTTAGGGGGAGAAAGAATTTTTGTCAAAAATTGGCAATTTTCACGTGGAATTAGACCCATCACCCAGAATTTAGCCACCAATATGGCTTATATGGTGGGAAAGAGAAAACCCTTGTGTATTATTAGGAAAATCCTAACACTGAGATTATCACAATAGCCCGTCGCGCGAGGCCTAGCGACAGCACTCCCAGAACGCATACAAGGCATATCTAGGTCAAACCGAAGCACCGCGCTCGAGGCGGAAGGACACCCGGAAGTGAGCCTCGGACCCGAAATCAATTTTCACCCAGAACACACCACTTCTTACCTTACACTTTTCACCCATGTTAGTAGTTAATACCATTCTGCAGCAGATTATGAGAAATGTAAACTCAAACATGAACCATCGGAACCCCTTTGTCACTTTTTTTCCACTACATTGGACCCCTGTCGCGGAAGAACTGGTGTGTGCACCGCTAAGCGATCCACAGAGGCACAGCTCATACTAACAATTCATGACATAGCTGGTGCACTGAACAGTAAAAAGCAAGTAGATTTAGCGATACGCGACTTCACAAAAGCGTTCGATAAAGGTCCCCATGGTAGGCTCATCTTAAAACTGCACTATGAAGGAATCTAAGGAACAACACTAAACTGGTTAAAAGCTTTTCTAACCAACAGGAAGCAAACAGTAGTGGTTGAAAGGATGGCTTCTGAGTAGCGTCATTAGTTCCGCAATGAACTGTTCTGGGAACATTGCTATTCCTCTTGTATATTAATGACCTACCAGATCAGCTTGATTCAAAAGTGAGATTATTTGCCGATGACTGTCTGTTGTATGTAAATCTGTCTACACAGAATGAATCACACCCCTTACAAAAGATCTGAACACGCTGGAAGAATGGCAAAGCAAATGGCTCATGCAGTTTAACCCCTAAAAATGCTATATTATGCATATATCAAACAAACGAACCCCACATATAACTAGCTATCTGTTCTCTGGTCAAGCTTTGGCAACAACTAAAACCCACCCGTATCTCGATGTTACATTCGTGGGGTACGCATTTTAACAACATCACTGCGAAGGCCAAACAAACATTAGGAGTGATTAGGCACAATCTGTGGTCATGTTCAACAAGGTTTAAATCACTTGCATACACGTCGCTTGTAAGACCAAACCGAGAATATGCCGCGACAGTATGGGACCCATATATAAAGAAAGACAAAGATAAATTGGAAAGGGTACAGAACCAAGCTGTAAGATTGTGCACGAACTATCAAAGGGGCGCTAGTATAACGGAAATGAAAAGAAACCTACTTGGGGGTCGCTGGAAGACAGACGTAGAATGTCCAGACTGTGCATGATATACAAAATGACTAATAAACTGGTTGGCGTACCAACCACTAAGTATCTGATACCAGCCCAGAAAAGAACAATAAACAGTCATGCCTTCAAATATCAGAGTTATCAACCAAGAATTGAGGTATTAAAAAACGCTTATTTCCCCAGACCTATCGTAGACTGAAACTCGTTGCCACCGAGCACAGTCGGGGCATCATCACAAGAAAGCTTTAAACAACTCCTGCAATCAAATGTGCAATGATTAAGTGTAACAAGTCGTTCGGTGTGATATAGCTAGCTGCCGCCGCGCCGCGTGCCTGCGAAGCTGGTGTGTTAAGCCGAAGGGCGGTTATACCGGTTATACCGATACAGATACAGAAGTGTCAATTAGCTTATGCAAGGCTTTCGCAGAGCGACAAATCAGGCAGAATAATCTGTGTACAGGAGGTGGTTAACATTAACCCTGCCAATAAAACAACCAACATTTGTGTTCTTTAACATCACGCTGAGGACAACTATATAAATGTTAAATAACAAGGGGGATAACAAGCTCCCCTGGGGGACCCCGTTACTGGAACTAAAACTGTCCGACACGGTCTTCTCCCAGAGCACTTTAAATGACAGACTGCTGAACCAGCACACAATAACTCGTACCAAATAAACAGGCATCCCTCTCTTAAGCAATTTGTTAAACATTACGTAGTGATTAACTCGATCAAATGCTTTAGATGCATCCAGGAAACAGACAAAGGCGGGGGAAACCTCGACTATTAAAGTGAGGTATGACCTCCGGCCAAAAATGCACATGTCCGTCCCGTGGTGCTGCTTGAAACGGTTCGCTGGAGTAGAAAAATACCCCTCCAGACGACCAAGAAGGACAGATTCAAACAGCTTGAACACGGGGCTTGAGATGGCAATCGGGCGGTAGTTATTCTTAATGGAGGGATTTAGATTTTGGAAGAGGATTAAGATGGACACTGATTTCGTGTTTCTATTTTCAAATGGATTCTAAAGGAGTTGATAAAGAAGATATGAAATGATTGATTATGTATTTTGCAATACCACAGGTAGATACCGCCCAGGACGCCCCCACGTGCTAGGCAGTGCCCACTACTTCAACAGCACTGACTGTCTCAGCAGCATGAGTGAAATCATTTCTAACTTCCAACAGCTCTTCAGTCAGCTGCCGTCCTTCCAACCAGGTGGATCGATCACAATTGATCTTCATGACATTGAAGTGGAATGTGGAGAGACATCAAAACAAACCACTGCAATAAAATGGCGAAACATCGTTTCAAAGCGTGTGAGATCTGCAAATGGCTTTACAGTAAGGTTCAAGGTAGTTGCCAGCAGTTCATTGGCACCAGAAAACATCACCCAAAGTGAGCAGTATAACCTCGTATATGCCCTTGACGACATCTACTTTGATATCGAAGACAAAGTTGCAAACCAGCAGTTCGACTTAACCATTAACGGACAACAAGCCACTGTCGACACAATCGACATCGGGTTTGCGGAGTTCGACCTCAACTGCACCCAGGGACAACTGAGTTTTCAAGACAGCTTTGAGGCGTATTGTCGTGAGTATAGCTTTTAACAAATGCTTTTTTGTTACTTTTATCTGCATGGTTAGGTTATAAGTTTATAAAACATAATAGAAATAAGGACATATTTATTGTAAAAAGTTACAGTGTATGGGGTATAGAATTTTATTCTTACACAACCAGTAAGCTTCTCACCTGCTTACGTTTTGATGTCTATCAGACACCTTCCTCAGAGCTTCTGACTGGAGTTCTGCAACTCACCGCTATCTATCGTCAAAGTAGGTGGCGCTTTTGCGGCGAGAATGCAATCCCAAACGTGGCTGAGCTTGTATCCCCTCTTGTCCCGGTTCATCACTGGAGTTGACTTTCTTATCCAGACTGCTTCTTTAATCAATCGGATTCTCCTGTTTTCCTCCCTATCTATGACCCTGGCAGTCCCTCCCAGTCTATCACACAATTGTTTCTGGCAACATGGTCTGTAACTGCCGATTTCTTCTTTTCTTTTTGTGCTTGTTGTTTCTGGGATCGTGTGTATCTCATGGCTTCGATGTTGTCTGCTTCTTTTCCATGTTCTTCCAATCTTTTGCCAAAGGTCCTTCCAGTCTCTCCAATGTACACTTCATCACAGCTTTTGCATGGGGTTTTGTATACGCAATCCGTTTTCACGTGGCCCCCCATCTTGCCCTTGGGGTAGACAAGCAAGATCCTCAGTGTTGTTTTTGGCTTTACTGCTGTGGTTACCTGGTGTTTCCAGCCACGTTTGGGATTGCATTCTCGCCGCAAAAGCGCCACCTTCTTCGGCGATAAATAGCGGCGAGTTGCAGAGCTCCAGTCAGAAGCTCTGAGGAATGTGTCTGATAGACATCAAAACGTAAGCAGGTGAGAACCTTACCGGTTGTGTAAGAAGAAAATTCTATACCCTTTGTATCTTCCGACCTGATGAAATTATTTACAGTTACAGTGTACTTCAAATAAAAGGTTGAACTCACTGAAATTTGTAATGATAAAATGTGTGAACTAAGTCTTTTTAGGATAGATTACGCACTTGCTCCAGACACGTGATCGTATCTTGCCCAGAGACCACGGGGTGGGTGGTAAAGATTCCCAACCATACGTTGATCTATTACTGACATCACAAGAGCATTAAATCAGGTCTCCTTAGAGATTGTATCCAACAACTAAAGAAGACTAAACAAGAGTTCCACGATCTCATACCTTCGCCAAATGATGTTAACCCTTGCGGTTGACGAATTATACAATTTTAATAGTTGATTTCGCAAATAAGAGCGTCATTTACATGAAATACATCAGTTGATCATATTCTCCACCCAATGGCAGCCTTATCTTAACAAAATAGGCTATTCTAGCACTTCCTTATAAATTCTGCAAATGAGGTCATAATGTGAATAAATTATCTTCATTGATGTTCACCTTCACTTAACTTCCAAATGCGGTATGTATGTATGAAATTCCCAGCAATTACAACTATGAAATTATAACAATTTCCCATTAATTATGCAAATTAGGGCTTTATTTACATAGTCTATATCCTCAGATGTTTTTCTAGTTCTCAATTACATGTCACAAGTGTTTCATAGTCCTATTATCGAACGAAGCAGATTTAAAGAATTTCCTCATTAATTATGCAGATTAGCTCCTGATTTGCATAATTTTAATCTGATTATGTCAAGCATCACTTCAGCTACCTACATACCACAAATCATGACAATCCGTCAACCGGTTCTTGAGTTATCAACCTTCGGGGATTTTTCAAGAAACGCTCCTGTAGTTCCAGAACAACCTGCTAGGGGGTCTAAACTCAGATCACGTCTTCCCTACCCCAAGAACTATCTACCAACTAAATTTCGTGACCTTAGCATGTGAAGATCGCGAGATATCAAAACCGGACGTTCTGCTGCAGTACCAACAAAAGCCGCCAGGGGGCCCAAAATCTAATCAATTCTAGGTCTCATCAAGACCTACCAACATACCAAGTTTCATGACAATCCATATTAAGCTTCTTGAGTTATGCTGTTCACAAACAAACAAACAGACAAACGGACAAAGAGACAAACGCTACTGAAAACATAACCTTCTTGGCGAAGGTATTAGTTAAAAGTTCTTGGGAGATTCTGGGAGAGTTAAGAAAAATCCATAATGCAATTTACCTTACTAAAATAATCCATAATGTAATTTACCTAACTAAAATAATTTTCTTTTCAAATGCACGCTACTAACATGCCGTAAAAAAGATAATTGTAAGTTATCATATAAAAAAATCGACACAGTTTCACAAAAACGAACGCGATCAATCGCATTTCAGTTGACTGTCCCCCCGGCACGTTCCATGACCTGACTACGGACACCTGTGAGTACTGCCCTGTTGGTGAGTACCAGGACCAGCCGGTACAGACGGACTGTAAACAATGTCCTCACAACACCTGGTCCGTGTTTACTGGTGCAAAGGAGGAGGCTCAATGCCTGTCAGGTTAGAAAAATCGTAATTGACTATTAGAAAGCAGCATTACACGCCGCTGTAACGGAGCTTTTCATTAATTGTTGCTCTTCTTTTATTTCCTTTTAAGAATTAGTGCCACACTAAAACAATGTTACAAAACACATTTAGTTTGCCTCGGAAAAGACGACCTGTGCTCGAGCTGTACCCACGTCTTGGGACAACTGACGTGCAAGGTAACACTAAACTGCTATTTCTAATCTACATATCTATCTTTAACCCTGCCTAGACCGGGGGGGCTAAAAGTGCCCGCGGCAACTTTGATGTCACCTAACGTCTGAACGACTAGCCGTAGAACGGCCAAACTTGGTGACTTTTCCTAGAATATTGTTGACAACAATTCTCTATCATTGGAATAAGATAATATTTTTTTGTGTTGCCATGGCAACGGGTTTCTGACAGGCATTTTTTGCTAAATTTAGTACTTTTTGTTTCAACAATAGAATTTTATGGGTTTTATGTCAAGTTACTCATGTTTCTAATATTAATAACATCCCATATAATTTTATGTAAATTTTATCATTAAATATGCATAATTTATGCTAATTTGATGACGTCATTGGCCAAAATTCAAGATGGCGGACCATATCATTAGAACAGGTATATACAGGTTATTTTCATTAAAATTTCATCAATACTTTCATTTCTTTTTCAAAAAAGGTTTAAATGAAGGTCTTTAGTATGTTTACAATGTATTTTAGGCTTTATCATGAAAAAAAACTATTTTTGAAAATTCAAGATTGATGATCCAAGATTGCGGATATCTTAAATATGCATGACGTCATTTTATGACGTCACCGGTGTTGCTATGGGCAACATAAGACTTAGTACACCATAATATTCTGTCATAAACACTTTTGGTACAGTTATGTTAAATACCATTTAGTTTTCAGGGAAAAACCTATTTAGACGGTTTTGGCCAAAAAAACACATTAATGACGTCATAATGACGTCATATTACGTCATAACGACAAAAAAATTATAGATATGATAGATTTTCACTAGTACACTATTCTCTAAAAATTTGGTGGTCATACGACATACCGTTCGCGAGTTCTTAGGGGGGGGGGTCAAAAGAG